TACTCTCAGGCACCGTACCCTCAGCTCCAGCACCCTCAGTCCCAGCACCCGCAGCCCCAGCACCCCCAGGCCCAGCACCCCCAGACTCAGCACCACCCGCAGCAGCACCTGAGTCACCTGTGACCTCGACAGGCTCAGCGACGGGAGGAGGGTCTACCTGAGAGACACCTGAAGGAGCAGGACCCTGAGGGGGAAGGGGGTCTACCGGAGGGGGACCAGGAGCAAGGAAAAGCGGCGGGGGAGGGAGGGGGGCAGTGCGGTAGGGGAAGAGACGGTAAAAGGGGACCGACTCGTCAAAGGTGACATCCTGAGAGGCGAAGACCCGGCGCGAGGTGGGGTGGTAAAACTGCCAGCCAGGCGCGTCAGGGACAAAGCCAAGGAAGACACAGGGAAGCGTGCGGGAGGAGAGCTTGTCCGCGGACGTATCGCGGACAAGGGCACGAGCACCCCACACCCGGAAGCGCGACGCATCGCCAACCTCCCCCGTCCAACGCAGTGTGGGCGAGGTCTCCGGCAAGGAGACACGGGGCCAGAGGTTGAGCTGATGCGCGGCGTACCGGACAGCAAACGGCCACAGAAAATGGGGAGCCGCCGCGTGGACCAAGGAGGTACGAGCGACCTCCATGACCAGGCCAATGCGGCGCTCAGCAACCCCATTCTGCTGCGGGGAGTCCGGAAGCGTGAAGGTCTGCTCGATGCCCTCCGCCTGACAGAAGGTCCTCAAGAGATCGGAGGAAAACTCACCACCTCTGTCAGAGTGCAGACGCAGGACAGGAAGATCCGTCCGGAAACGGCGGCGGAGCTGGAGACGAACCGTGCGGATCCAAGGGATCAGAACAGCAGGGACCTCACCCTTGGTGCGCAAGGGGAAGACCGTGGTGTAACGCGAGTAGTCGTCGACAACCAGCAAAAAGTACCGCTCACCGCCCTGACCACGAACGCGGGCTGGGCCCCACACGTCCAGGTGGAGGGTCTGCAGAGGAGCCTCTGTCGGGGGGAACGAGGAGGAGTGAGGAGCGGCGCGCTGCCGCCCCTCGACGCAAGGAAGGCAAGGCGGCGCAGGCGAGGCAGGGAGGGGAGGGAGGGACCTGGGAAGACCAGACACAAGGTGGCGACGGTGCATGCCACGAAGGCGTGGCAAGGAGGGGTGACCCAGGCGGTGGTGCCAGAGAAGAGTCTGGTGCGACAGGGAACGACACTCACAGGCGTGGGCTACCAGACCTGACGCAGACACCTGACCGACAGCAGCGACCTGAGGAGACGCAGTGGTCAGTGTGTAGAGACTCGACCCCGGCCGACGGGTAAACGTAGCCAGGTGACGGCCGGTCCTGGAGCACGTGCAGATCGCCACACGCTGTCCTCCAGGGGTAAAGGTGTCAACCCACTGATCCTGGAGGACAGCGTTGCTCACCAGGTTCGTCGAGAACGAGGGGAGGTGGAAACCTGACAACGAGCCAGACGGAACCGCCGGACAAGGGAGGACAGTGGTGGACTGGGCAAGGACTGGGCCCCCAGAGGGGTCAGCCAAGGAGACTGGGACCGGTGCAGGAAGCGGTGTGAGCTCAGTACTGTCACGAAAGAAGCAACGGGAAGCACCTGAGTCAAGGGTGAAGGTGTGACAGGCCTCAGCCGGTGCGGTACCTGAGAGAGCAGTCTCTGTGGGTGCTGTACCTGAGAGAGCAGACTCGAAACCAGCCGGGACAGTACTGGAGGGAGCAAGTACAGGGGGCACCATACCAGAGAGAGCAGACTCACTAGTACCCAGGGCAGCGGGCTCTATACCTGGGTCAGGCGGCACACACAAGTAACAGTCTCCCTCGGCACTAACAGTCAATGCATACATGGCAGCAATAATAGCATCATAGTCAAGAGCAAAGACATCAACACCAGCCCTCATGAGCTCAGCCCAGCGGGGGCGCTCAACATCCGCACCCATCTCCTCACGCCAAGCGTCGTCAAGGCGGGAGAAGCAGCGGTACGGGGTGTGGAACCTCCCACACGTCTGTCCCTTGCGGTCACCTGTGCGAATGACATAAGAACAGCGGCCACTGCCCCCCGACGTCCCACGCTGAGCAAGCCACTCACGAAGCTGCTGGGTCGTCTGGGGACGCTGCTGCTGCTGGGAGCTCTGGCCCGAGCCAGTGCCTCCACTCCGACCTCCGCCGCCACCACTACCACCGCTCCGACCGCCACCGCCACCACCGCCACCACCGCCACCGCCGCCACCGCCGCCGCCGCCACTACTGCCACTGCTTCCTCCGCCGCCCCCGCCTCCACCACCGACCCCACTCCCACCAGCGCTCCCGCCACCGCTCCCTCCAGCACCGCCTCCCCCCCCACCTCCCCCACCTCCTCCCCCCCCAGCGCCACCACCACCACCCTTGCCCCCCTTGCCCTTGCCGGTGCGGCGCCTCCCACCAGGAGTAGAAGCAGCGCCAACAGACTCAGCACCAAGGAAGTCAACAGCAGCAGCAGCAGCGTAGGAGGGAGCGAGGGGAGAGGGAGAACACCCCTCAAAGATGGGGGTGCGAGGAGCGCCACGAGCAGCACCGACAGCTACAATGCTCTTTTCGGCCGCGAGCAGCTGCTCCTCTAGGAGGGCGACTGTGAGCTCAGTGGGACAGCGAGCAAGGAAGTGGTCTCGAACTGAGCGGAGGGTGTCAGGGAGACGGGTGACTATGAAGTGGAGTGTCCAGTACAGTGGAGGGGGGTTCTTAGCGCAGAACTCGGTGGGAAGGGCGGCACGCAGGCGAGCATCACTAGTGCGAAGGTGGGTGATAAGATCGGCGACTGTAGTAAAGGTGGACAGATCGGGGAACAGGTACGGCAGCATGAGGCGGCTAAGCTCGGCTGTGGCAGGCGAGGAGTAGCGAGCAACGACAGCATCGTACAGGGCCTTAGCGGATTTGCAGTCGCCAAAATGCTCGAGCTCAGCTAGCGGCAGGTGACTGCGAATGGCTAGGCGAGCAGCTGCGTCACGAGTCTGCCAGTGGGAACGAACACTAAGCTCGGCTGTGGCAGCAGGAGCAGCGGCAGCACCAGACGCGTAGTCATAGAGGGAGATGTGGTCCGTGCTATTGCTCATAAGATACAACTGCAGGTCGTCGAGCCAGGAAGTGAACTGCACGGGACGGCCCTCAGCATCGAAGGAAAGAACGCGAATAGAGGCCATAGCTCAGGCGTGAGGGCACAGCAGAGCAGCGGCAGCAGCAGAGGGGACGCGCTAGAGCGAAGCTAGCAGCCACAGCAGGAGCAAGCGGCGGTGCACAGGCAGGGAGCAGCAGGCGAGAAGCGCGGCGGGCGGGCTGCGAAGCGGGCAGCGGGGCGGGCGGGCGACGCAGCAAGCGGGCAGTGAGGCAGCGGGCGGCGCTGCGAAGCAGGTAGCGGGCGGGCGGGCGGCGCTGCGAGCGGGCAGCGAAGCGGGCGGGCCGCGAAGCGGGCAGCGAGCGGGCGGGCGGGCTGCGAAGCGGGCAGCGGGGCGAGCGGGCTGCGAAGCGGGCAGCGAGCGAGCGGGCTGCGAAGCGGGCGGGCCGCGAAGCGGGCAGCGAGCGGGCGGGCGGGCTGCGAAGCGGGCGGGCCGCGAAGTGGGCAGCGAGCGGGCGGGCGGGCTGCGAAGCGGGCAGCGGGGCGAGCGGGCTGCGAAGCGGGCGGGCCGCGAAGCGGGCAGCGAGCGGGCGGGCGGGCTGCGAAGCGGGCAGCGGGACGAGCGGGCTGCGAGCGGGCGGCTCGGCGGGCGGGCGACACTGCGAGGGGCGCGCGAGGGCGCTAGTGAGGGGCGCGCGAGGGCGCTAGCAAGGGGCGCGCGAGGGCGCTAACGAGGGGCGCGCGAGGGCGCTAACGAGGGCGCACGAGGGCGCTACGAGGCTAGGGCACGGGGTAGCGTGGTAACCGCATGCGAGCGGTGGTGGGCCCTTAAAAAACGGTCGGTAGGTCCTAGGGACCTCCTGCTCTGAATACCATCTCAAGATAACTAGGCAAGAATGAATGAACTAGCAGAAGTTTGGGTACAAATATGAAACCCTAGTTGGGGTTGTACCCCATATTGGCTACCCCACTACAGCCTACAAGCATAATACAGTTTAACAGAAGAGCCACGTTCGCACGTTAGCGTCGCGTTGACTTGGGTCGAACGACTCGGGCTTCTGCGGCTTGAGCGCGCTTCGACGTTCCGGCAGCGCTTCCGCGCCAGTCGACGTGGTGGGTGCAGGAGTTGGTGCGGCAAGGCCATGGGGGTTAGAAGCCAAATTGCGAAGTTGTTGCATTTCGGCTCGTACCTGACGATTTTCCAACGTCAATTCTTCGAGTTGACGCATGAGCTCGGCAAGCGTGTTGCCCATGTCGTGGGGGAAAGCGTTCATGGATTCGTCCATGTTTGCTCGACGACTCCAAGTCTGCAAGTCGGCACCGCGGGACGATGACGGCGTAGTCTCGTCGTCGACGGTCGTTTGTTGGAAGTCGCTCCCCGCGAAGGCTCTTGATACCAAGTGTTAGGCCCGCTGGCCTAAGTCCGCTAAGGAATTAGCGGGGTCGACTAAGTCGAGGATAAACGCGGCGGAAGACTTTGGCGAAAGAGAGTGTTGGCGAAATAGGCGAAGAAGTAACTGAGTAATTGAAGAAGAGTTGAATGAGAATTGGTTGATAATGCCAAGTACAAGCAAGGTTTATATAGCATGCAAGAAACAAGGTTGGAAAGTGGATTGTGGGACCAAGAATTGTAGTGCAAGAAAAGTAGAGTGCCACGTGGCACTAGAGAATCTGAGAAGATAAGGATAAGGGTGACTTGGAAAGTACTGTTCGGAATGAACAGTAAACACCCCTCTAACAAACAACGTGCTGTTCACTTCAGGAGTACCGACCCACCAGGGCAACGTGCGGTCAACTTCGTTTCCTCGAGGTGCAAAACGGCAAACCTTGTAAACCTCTATCCAGCTTTTAGAACCGTCCTAAGACACGACACAAGAACTGCAAATGTGTGAGAATTGTACAACCTGACGTCGCCCTTAGGGTTGTCCATGTGCCTCTAGAAAGCCATATTTCTAGGTTGAAATCTTGTAATTGTGTATATTTCATATTACACGGATTGAGCAGCAGGTTCAACTTTATATATATCATTACATCCAAAAACATCTCCCATTCAAGGAAGCATGACACCCATAAGAATACCTACAATAATAATAACAATATGAGGGTACCAAAATCCCATGCCCATTCCTATCCCAGCAGCCTTAGAGGCCGCTTGATCGATACCCAATAAATACCTACACTGCTCCTGGGTTGGATTGCTCTGCACCACTTCAGCAACCCCCTTAAAGTCACAAGCCCCACCCGACTGGTTATTCAGCTGGAAATAGCTATTGAACGCATAGGTCGCAACCTTTGAAGTGCTGCCATTAAAGTAACACGACCCCCCAACCTGTGCAGGCGTGCAATCCGAAGGCTTCGTATCCCCACACGCGTACGTCACCGCATCTGCCAATTTCTGCGGGTCTGCACCTTCTTTGGCCACACACCATCGCCCAGGATACAACACAATCCCCGTTGCACTCTTCAGGGTGACATTCTTCCCGCCGCCCGTTAAATCCAACGGGTATTTCGGGGTCCCGTCCGAGCGGAAAATCCCCCAGTGCCTCTCAAACGGGCCAGCGAGAGTAATCTTCCGGTCTTCGTCTGTAAGTGCAAAAAGATACCCACTCAAGATCTGATTTGGGCGGGCTGGCGTGCCTCGTCCTGACAGCATGTGGGCTAGAATTGCCTGGTTAAAGCGGTAGGCGTTATCCACTGTGGCGTAGCCCCTCATGTCACCCTGACCGTCGGATGGCCACCCAATCTCGCCGATCTCGATCGGCAGCTGCAGAGAGAATGAGAAGTGGGCGGGAGGGGGGAGGAGGAGGGGAGGGGTGTGGGAAGGGAAAGGGGGGGGGGAGTGGGGGTGTGAAAGTGTGGTGAATGTGGGTAGAGTAGATAGTGAGAGGGGCTTATGGAGCAAAGTGTGTGGGTGGGCATTGGAAGGGAGGAGGAACAGGGCAAAGGGACGAGGGAGTCAAGGAGGGAGGAAAAGCTGAAGAACACAGTAGGATGAAGTGAAGGGAGGAATCTGCTGGGCATGGAAGAGTCCGTAGGTGAGGAGAAGCAGCCACAATGAGCCCACACAATGAGACCCCGACGCTGCCACAATGAGCCTACAATGAGCCTACAATGAGCCTACAATGAGCCTACAATGAGCTTACAATGAGCCCACAAATAGCCCACAACCAACGCCACACACCCAGCCTCAACTACCACTCACATTGCCACATCTGATCTAATCCGGAGTGGCCACCACAGCATCAAACGCCCACAAAGATCCCACAATGATCCCCACATTCAGCCCCACAATCAGCCCCATACTCAGCCCCACAATCAGCCCCACAACATAAGTTTCCACTTACATCGCCATAACCAATCTTCTCCAGAGCGGCCACCACCGCATCAAACGCCCCATCGAAAATGTTGTCGTATTTCAGCCCGCTCTTCGGGTCCTTGAACTGCCACGCCTGCCCGCCAGGCTGCCCCAAAAAAACCTGGTTCAGCCCTATAGCCCCCGTTGTGTCCTGGTGCAGCGTCAGAAACGGGTAGATGTTTATCGAGAACGTTCCACCCGACTGTTTCAAAATATCTGCAATCGCAGTAATATCCTCCAAAATCCTCCCGAACCTCGCCCGAGGACGGCGGGTAGGAGCTTCCCAAAATATCCGCGTTAAGAGGCACAGTGAGCTTGATTTTGTCGTCTAGTTTGGCGTCCTGTAACGCACTGTACATGTTTCGCATTGCTGGCACCACGGCTGACTCGTACATGCCCTGGTAGCCCTGCAGGAACGGCTCGTTTCCCACGGCTATCTCCCTGCACCCGGGGGAAGAAGGGGGGAAGAGGGAGGGGAAGGGGGCAGGGGAATACAGTTACTTAGGGGGCACGCACTGTACATGTTTCGAATTGCCGGCACCACGGCTGACTCGCACATGCCCTGGTAGCCCTGCAGGAACGGCTCGTTTCCCACGGCTATCTCCCTGCAATCAGGTGAGGAGGAAGGGGAGGGGAGGGAGGATGGAGTGGGGGGAGAAGAGGGAGGGGCGGGTAAGGAGGAAAATGTGGTTATTCATGAGACTCGCACATTCCCTGGTACCCCTACAGGAATGGCTCGATTTCCACAACTATCTCCCTGCTCCCCGGGAGTGAGAAGGAGGGGAGAGGAGGGGAAGGGGGAGAGAATGGAGGAAGAGGAAGGGAGGGGGGGGAGAGTGGGAGGAGGGGGACGAAGTCGAGGTTTTCGATCTGCAGCATCACCGCCACCTCGATGGCCGTGCCCAACAGCACGAGGCGTACCTGATGCTGGATGGTGCTTTAGAAAACTGCCAAAAACACCCCCGCTCGGTGCGCACCTGAAGTGCGGGGTGTTTTTGGTAGAAATGTTGTTGCTGAGCCACTTGGTACATGTCAACCTGCATCAGCCGCACCTGATGTTGGCCCCCTTAGGAAAGACGAAAGGCGACACGTTGTTGCTGAGCCACTTGGCAGCTTCCTTCTGCGAGCCGGCGACGAGATTGAGGTACTCGTTCTGCAGCATCACCGCCACCTCGATATCCGTGCCCACCAGCGCGCGCAGAATGTCCACGTCAGCGCCGAACAGCTTCAGCCGCTTGATGCCGTTGTCCTGAAATGGAGCACGGGGTGATAGATGCGAGGGGTGATAGAAACGAGGAATGACAGAAGCCGAGAGTGAGACGAAGAGTGAAACGAACAGCTTTAGCCGCTTGATGCCGTTGTCCTGAAAAGGAGGATTGCAGCATGGGGGTGATAGAAACGAGGGGTGGTAACAGCAGAAAGTGAGAGTGAATCTTTAATTCTCAAGATGCTAACGGCTTCAACCGCTCGCTGCAGTTGACCTGAGAGGAACTGAGGAAAACCTATTCACGGTGTAATGCGTAGAATAGGAACTGAGTAAGAGTCAACGAATCTCCGCGAACTTACTTGAAGCAGCTTCACGACGGCTTTAGGCGGCATCTGCTGCCACGAGTTGCGGCCCCAGCACACGCCGATGGGCTGGGAGAAATCTGCAGATACAGGCCTCACGCCGATCGTGCTGCTCGCCGCGGCGAGAAGCAGTACCGCAGCGAAGCAGTGCCAGAAGTGATTTGCGAAAGAAGACGCCGGCGGGTTACTGCATAGCCTTTGCCAGCACGTCTGTCGCAGAGCCATGGCGAGCTAATCTGATAGAGGATAACGTCTTCCTCTTGCGTTTTGGGTGATGCCGGTTAGAAAATGAACCAGAGACCTGTGATGGATGTAAACGCGCTTCGATCGAACGAGCGACCCTAACTCCCTTCGAATAAAGAACAGCCCGTGACTGGATGCGTTCTCAACACAAAGTAACACCGGGATTTCGGGAGGCTGACCCTAGGTGAAGCCTCAGAAAGGTAACACGAGACGTGTTACCCACAGAGTTCCTTGTGCTCACTAGGACAGATGTTCACAACAACAAGGAAACGAAACGGACGCAAATGAAAGAAGGCGTGCTTGGATAGTCCGACAGCACCGAGGTCGGTCGAAAAACGAGGTACTATCCAGAACTTATCACCACGTAATTGTTTGCCATCAAGTGTCGTTGAGCTAAGAAGAAGCGACATACTCGTTTTGACCGTTTTCCATGTAATTCCCCGAAAGCAATCCCTTGATGTTGCCTCAGGTTGGAGCGCCTGCCTGTCTGATGGGACCTCGAGTTTTGCGAAGCACAAATTCTGAACCAGAATCGAGGGGTCTGACATCGAACCGCGCATGTATTTTCCCGAAGACTGCAGAAGCATCTGTCGAAGCGCACAGGTCTGTGCAGCTGGAGGTGGGCGACTGTGGCTTGAGTCGCCTGAGTTCTGACGACGATTTGGTCGCTGACCATTGTCCCGCGAGAGCCTGAAACTGTACCATTGTCATGACATCTGATACACATAAATGGTAAACTTGTTTGTGCAAAGTTCCAGCATGGACACATCCACCATACAGTACTTCTCCCATGGCATTATTAGGAAAGATACAGGTTTACACAAGAGAGGCTACATAAGTGTGCACATGACACCGTTCAAAGGTCCTCGCCTAGCAAGTTGATGACAGTATTGACGTCCTTGTCGCCACGGCCACTAAAGCACACAATGACCTTGGTGCCATCGGCCAGCTGAGGGCAGAGGTACTCGAGGTATGCCAGCGCATGGGATGTCTCCAGGGCAGGGATGATGCCTTCCAATCGCGACACACGCTTGAATGCTGCGCACACACAAGAGAAATACGAAGGTAACAATGGCAGTGGTGGCACCATGGCTCACAAGTTGGAGTCAACTGAACCGAACCAATAAGAGAGATACCGTACACCAAGAGCAATATTCCAGAACCTTCGGCATTTGCTGTACGGCTCCTTTTTTCCCTCTCACCTTGCAGTGCCTCGTCGTCAGTGACACTAAAGTACTCCGCACGGCCGATGTCCTTGAGGAAACTGTGCTCTGGGCCCACTCCAGGGTAGTCAAGCCTGTGGAAGGAAGCACAAAAAAGAATGCAGAGAGGATACAGGAAGGTGAGCGAATGAATGCTGTGCCCCAGGCCCACTCCAGGGTAGTCAAGGCTGCAAAATGCAGTGTGGAGAGGAGAGCGGGAGGTGAGGGGCGGAGGGACTTCAATGATGGTGGGACTTGAATGGTGGGGGGGGGGGAGATTTTTGAGTTGACTCAAAAATCGTCTCATCACACTTGAATGGTGGGGAGGGAAGTGATTCCAGTATACTTAAAATGATGGCATATGGCTCCATTCATGACCTGATCGATTTCCTCCAATTCAGCAGCAGGACAATTCACGACACCACACCGCATACCCACACATTCCCCATACTCCAATGCTCCTCTCTCCTTTAACACTCCTCTCTCTCCTCCAACCCCTCCTCCACCACACATACACTCCTCCACTCACCCAGCACTGATCAATGATCTGCCCATCAGCGTCCTGCAGCAGGTAGCTCATGGCGCCAAAATAAATTCCCTGGTTACCACAATATTCACCCGGCACGGCTGCTGTGCGGCTCTATAATCCACCCGTCGGTGTCCTGCAGCAGATAGCTCAAGGCGCCATGCAGCACATGTGAACACACATTCCATCCGCGCGGTTACCACGCTACTCACCCGGCACTGATGCTGTGCAGCTCCATAATCTGCCCACCGGCGTCCTGCAGCAGGCAGCTCATGGCGCCATGCAGCACGACCACCTCCTACCCCACCACAAAAGCACTCAAACACACACTCACTCCAACCCGTCTCATCCCTCCCCCCTACAAGCTGACTCACCCTGCAGTGATGCTGTGGGGTTCGATGATCTGCCCATCAGCATCCTGCAGCAGGTAGCTCATGGCACCGCTTTTTAGTCGACTCAAAAACATGTGGGGTTCGATGATCTGCCCTTCAGCATCCTGCAGCAGGTAGCTATGGGGTTTGTCTCTCTGTCCTAAACAACAAGAGATTGATGGAAATAAGGCCTCCGCAGCCCACCTGTTCGACTTCGACAGCATCTGCCCATCAGCATCCTGCAGGAGGGTAGCTCATGGCACCGTGCACCCCCCCTCCCCTCCCCCCCACCCTCTCCTCTAACCGCACACGCAATCCGCACCCATCAAACAACCTACCCGGCGCTGATGCTGTGGGGTTCGATGATCTGCCCATCGCTGTCCTGCAGCAGGTAGCTCATGGCGCCGTGCAGCACGCCCACCTCCCCAGCAGTGAGTGTCGCCGCATGCTTGTCCGTGTGCACGCCGTGCCCCGCCGCCTCCACGCCCACCATGCGCACGCCCTCGTCCTCCACAAACTCGTGGAACAGCCCCATGGCGTTCGACCCGCCCCCCACACACGCCACCAGTACGTCCGGGAGGCGACCGAACTTTTCAAATGACTGCTTCTTGGCCTCCCGGCCAATGATGGCCTGTCGGGCAGAAAGGGAAGGAAGGAAGGAAAGGGGGAACAGTTCAATTCTGACACAGAGACACTGACGAGCGAGGTGTGTGTGCCCAGACGCGTAAAATTGATAAGGGAGGGCAGAAGGGCAAGGGGATTCGTCGCAGGGGAGCAAGGCAAGGGAAAGTACCTGGAAGTCGCGCACGATCATGGGGTAGGGGTGGGGGCCGGCAGCGGAGCCGAGGATGTAGTGGGTGGTGTCCACGTTGGTCACCCAGTCGCGGATCGCCTCTGACGTGGCGTCCTTGAGCGTGCGCGTGCCACTGTGCACCGCGCGCACCTGGACACGTGGAGGGGCGGAAACGTGAGGGACGGACATGTGGGGGGATGGACACGTGGGGGGGCGGACACGTGGGGGGGGGGCGGATGTGAGGAAGGGCGGACACGTGAAGTGAGGGGAAGAGGGTGAAGATGTCAAAAGGTGATGGTGATGGTGGGTGATGGTGGGTGATGATGGGTGATGGTGGTTGATGGTGGCTGACGGTGGTTGATGGTGGTTAGTGGTGGTTGATGGTGGTTGATGGTGGTTGATGGTGGGTGAGAATTGGCAGGATGTACACACGGAAGAACGACCAACACTCCCCAATCCACTCCTTCCGCCCCTAACAACTCCTTCCTCTGCCCCTTCCCACTTCCGCTACTCTCAGTCCCCAGTTTCAGCCGTCATTCCCTCTATCCCTCCTTCTACACCCACAAATCAACCTCTCCCACTCCTCCCCCCAACTCTCCCCTCCCCTCCTCCCCCCAACTGCTATCATCCCCAACCCCCCCGGTCCCCCCCGCACCTCTGCGCCCAGCAGGCGCATGCGGAAGACGTTGAGCGCCTGCCGCCGCATGTCCTCCGCGCCCATGTACACGATGCAGTTCAGCCCGAAGCGCGCGCACACCGTCGCCGTCGCGACGCCGTGCTGCCCCGCGCCCGTCTCCGCGATGATGCGCTTCTTGCCGATGCGCTTCGCCAGGAGCACCTGGCCAATGGCGTTGTTGATCTTGTGCGCGCCCGTGTGGTTCAGATCCTCCCGCTTCAGATACACGTGCGGGCCGACGCGGCGCGAGGGGTCGGCGGGGTCGGGGCGCGAGTAGTGCTCCGTGAGGCGCTCCGCGAAGTAGAGCGGCGACTCGCGTCCCACGTAATCCTTGAGGATCGACTGGAACTCCTCCTGGGATCATTGAAACGAAGGGGAGAAGGGGGAGGAGGGGGGAAGGGGAGGGGAGGGAGTTGAGGGATGTTGAGATGAAAAAGAGATTGCGGCCCACGTAGCCCTTGAGGATCGACTAGAATTCCGCCTGGGGAGGAGCGGACGGAGAGAGGAATGTCGAGAAGAACATGGGGGAATTTAAGTGGATGAGAGGCGATCGCGACCCTACCTTCTTGGAGAATTGTTTGAAACACCGACTGGGAAGGTGAATGGACGCACGGTTCGCTTTCGCTGGCAAATATCGTTCCATATATATATAATGGTAACAAATGCAGTTTAAGGCTCACAGAAAGTCCCCAGTGCGATCAGCATCAGGCTCGAGTCGGCTTACCTGGAAAGCGGGATCCTTGACTGTCTCGTTATAAACCTTCTCGAGATTATCCAAAGCGGCCATGAGGGTCTCTGGAACGTACTTGCCGCCGAACTGGCCGTAGCGTCCGAACGAGTCAGGGCGCGCAAGATCCTTCATCTGGGGGGATTCAGAGGGTTTTATGAAAACAAGATTAGTGGCAGGTCAACGCTGAAGAGAATTCCGCTTTTTACGAAGCAGGACGACCAGTATTATCCAAAAATAAGGGAACCGCGACGATTGGATGCGCAGCAGCTCAACGGTAAATTCGAAATGTCAAGCCGCATTTGCTGCAGGATTCGACTTACGGCACTTCTCTTTTCGCTGTTCTCGACCACAACGAATCATCGGAGTGACTATCGCTGGCTCTGGAAGGTCAATAATTACCGTTCTGGATTCACCATAGTGATGACTTAAGGACTACAAAAGGTCTACCTTTGGTGAGTCAGCAGCCGCTGGCTTGATCTCCGCTACAGCCCTGACCTTCGCCGTCCCGCGAACGCTCTTCGCGAGCTTGTTAAAACTAGCGGAGTGGCTCACGGGCTGCCATCCCACGGTTCGCCGTGAGCTGGACGCGGACAGACCAGACTGACACGTGGACAATGCAGCAGCACGCACTGCAGGAGCTTCAAGGGTCGCCATGATAGTGTTCGGAAGGGAAAGATGATTTTGAACACTAAAAGGAGCGACGAGTTGAGATCCCTGAGTGGATGCTTCTCGAGCAAGAGGAAGCTGCAACCGTTCCTACCTGCTGCCAACACAGCCAGCAATTACTTGAGCTTTTGAAAAGTGCAAAGAAATGGGGAAGTGGAGCAGAAAAAGGGAACGAGTAGCTTTGCAAAAACGCTGCTGCGCACAGCAGTTGGGGGGGGAGGAGGTAGGGTGGGGGACGACTCCAGACGGGTGACTGACTGGGTTACTCCGCGGAGCGGTGAAGGCCAAGCGATTTTAGGGGAGTTTGGGCGCAGAAAGGGTTTCACGACAGAAAGCCACGTCGGAGCGACATCATCGATGATACAGTGCTGAATGTCAATCGCCAGAATTCTGCTGACCAATCGGAGGAGCCCAGTTTTCGACAATTCCTTGGTTCTGCCCCACGCCTCACCTGTAACGCATGCTCTTCGCAATCAGCTCCAATTGAGTTCGCCTTCTTAGCGAAAAGCTATTGTTCGTAATTCTGAAGGCTTTTGAGGTGCTGCTGCGACCAATCATAGGTGGGGATCTGCCTGACATCCCCAAGTCTGGCCGTCTGGAAGTCAGATTTGGTAAAATCCGTGTTGTTGAAGTTGAAAGAGAATCGACGGTTAGTGTGTTTCGGATTGATATTGGTGGTGCACTCACAGATGGAAAAACTAGAGAACAGACTCTGGATCCAGGAGGGAGTAACTATCCAACAAGATTCCAAGGAGATTAATTCACTGATATAATGCAAGCAGCATACTATCAGGCTTGCCTTTCATAGGAGGCCCGTGAACCCGCAGTGGGAAGAGCCATTAGATCCTATCGAACAGTACTGTTTCTGTGCTCAGGCGATGATTCTAGAAGAATAAGCCACAATGGCGAGGCAACGGAAACCAATAAGGTCCAACAGTGGAAAGAAAGGAGGACGACTAGCGGCTTTCAAATGCTGCATGATATCGCTTGCACTGGTTGCGATCGTGTGCATTCCTCTGGGTTACTGGAGAATCCATAGACGAGGTGAATTTTCACTGGACTGCCCTGAATTTATATGAAATTTCGATTGAATTTCATCTGCAACGATAATGTGGTTCCCTGTTTCTTGTTTGCGATCTCAGGTCAATTAGCAGCAGAAGCTCTATCGTCTAGACGCAGCCTAAACGAGGTAGTTAAGGTTTTTCGTACTTGCCGCGTTTTTTAACAGCTGTTTTCCTAACTCAATACCTCGTCAACAGTTCACCGATTGGAAACTGATGGCAAGCCTCTTCTTTTGCAGGAACCTGATTCGAAACTTATTAAATCATCCCAAGGTAAATATTCGTTTTAATTCTTGCTTGACGGTGTTTCGTAGCATGTACTGCTATTCTACTCCCGAATGTCTACATTCCATGGCACTACTGTTGCGTATTAAAAAAAAAAAAACCCAACCGCTTTCCATGCAGTTTTCCACATTCTTGTCCCGCTGCTAACTACGCGACTTTTATTTCACAGAAGCTTCACATTTTGACATTGGACGGCCCGAAACTCATTCGAGCGATGCGTCTGGAGGCGAGTCGCTCGTGCTGGCAGAACGCCATAAATCAGATGCAACTGACAGACCTACCTTCAATAGAGTCTCGCACGAAGTAAATGCTGACAACGATGACGTCCAAGGGCATGACTCATTGGAAGATGGGAAGACGATGACTCAAAGTTCTGGGCCAGGTGGTGTTAGTGGTGGTGCTGCTGCTGCTGGCGGTGATGATGCTGATGGTGCTGCTGCTAATGGTGGTGGTGTTGAGGGTGGTGAGGGTGGTGATGCTGTTGATGCTGGTGGAGGAGATGGAGAGAGCAGTAATTCACATTCAGCCAGCAGTGGTGCTAAGGTGGATGACGATGACCAGGAAGAAGTTGAGGATACCCAACGGAAAAGGCGGCTAGATTCGAGGATCCAGATGGTTCCAGAACGTGCGGAAGGTTTGGATGGCGATGGAGAGAAGAGCTTAGAGACGAATGGTGCAGAGAAGGAGGAGAGTGATGGGGAGGATGGAGACACGGACGAGGAGAGTGAGGATGGCGGGAAGAAGAAACGGAGGAGAAAGAAGAAGAAAAAAAAGAGACATTCCAAAAAAAGGACAGGAAACAGACGTAAGAACTCCAAATCTTCTTCTTCTGACTTCTCAACGGCTTCCTTTCCTCGTGCCTCTCCCTATCGTTTCACAAATTGTCATCAGTGGAGATTGCTTCGTTCCTTACTGGTCATACTCGCCTATTCGTGTCTACATGATATTCTAAGCTGGCCACCTCCTCAGAGTCTCAAAAACTACTTCCCGTTCCGCTGATGCCCTTTTCCACCCTCCATCCAGCATGTGAGGTTGACTACTTGGAGAGTGGAGACAGTGTCCAAGTACCAGACCTGGAGGGGCCCAACCCCACAACCCCTCACTATGTCACCATGGAGCATCCGCCTGCCGCCGACTCCTCTTCTTCCTCCTCTTCCGCGCTCAGCCTTCTCGGCCGCTCCTCCAACACGTGGGCCCCGCGCTTTGCTGGCCACCAGACGTGGCGACAGCGCGCTGACTCGTTCCGGGCTGGCAGGGCGGACTGGCCGCCAGAGGCGCAGGTGCACTGCGGCTTTGTGCAGTCGCCGCCCGGCTGGCCGGGGACAGGGTTTGATATCTCCAAGGCAGATCAGATGTACCTGGAGCAGTGCCGCATCGCTGTGGTTTCGGCTATCTTTGGCGACTGGGACCACCTCAGGCTGCCTCAGCGGTCTAAGGTGAGTCTACGGGAAAGCGTGCTTGATTTGTATGGTTGTGATGATCGCTAATGAGGCATTAATGAAGGGGTTGGAAGGGGATGGGGTTTGATATCTCCAAGGCAGACCAGATGTACCTGGAGCAGTGCTGCATCGCTGTGGTTTCGGCCATCTTTGGTGACTGGGACCACCTCAGGCTGCCTCAGCGCTCCAAGGTGAGACCTCTGAAGGGCATGCTTTGTACCCGTGTGATGATCGCACACAAGGGGTGGTCGAGAAGAGCCTCCTTATACTGGCTTCCTCTAGGCGGCTCAGTCAATCCCTCTCCCTATTCCCATCCCCAGATTTCCGTGTCAGCAAAGCGCAATGCGTGTTTTGTGTATTCTTGGACGAGCAGACAGTGAGGGGGCGGTACAGGGAAAACCTGATTTCTCCCAAAACCAACGGCAAAGTGGAGCTGTGGCATGTGAATTGAAACGCCTCAATCCTTCATCCCCCTCTCTTCCCCTCCCCAGATCTCTGTGGCAGCCAAGCGCAAGGCGTGTTTTGTGATATTCGTGGACGAGCAGACAGTGAGAGGGCTGTACAGGGACAACCTCATTCCCGATGCCAATGGCAAGGTGGGCCTATGGCGCATGGTGGTGGTGGCCAACCTTCCGTACTCCGACGCACGGCGCACAGGGAAGATCCCCAAGCTGCTCACACACCGCCTCTTCCCCAACGCCAAGTGAGTGCCGGGCCGTGGGGCGGCCTTGAATTGATATGCAGCAAGGTAGGCCTCTTGTGCGTGGTGGTGGTGGCCAGCCCGCCCTACTCCGACGCGCGGCGCACAGGGAAGATCCCCAAGCTACTTATGCACCGCCTCTACCCCAACGCCAAGTGAGTGCAGCCATCTGGTTCGGGTTGAAAGGGGTGTGCGCTGGGGCCATGGAGAGTCATGAGTGTATTTTGAGTCAACTTCCGCACAGGGAGGATCCCCAACCTGCTCACACACCGGCTCTTCCTCAACGCCAAGTTAGTGCAGCTGTTTGGTTTGAGTTGCCTTGCCATTTGAGGCGTCCCAAAACCCGTTTTGCCATCCATTGTGGTGTGACACCTTCCCCTCTGTCGCCTCCAAGTATTCCATGTGGATTGACAGCAAGTTGCGGCCCTATATGGATCCTTTGATCATTTGCTGATTAACGGTCGCCATTCATTTGGTGCCATCCTCCCCCTCTCGCCCCCACTTCCCCATGGCGCCCCCACTTCCCCATGGCGCCCCCAGGTATTCCATGTGGATTGACAGCAAGCTGCGGCTCTTTGTGGACCCGCTAGCCATCCTGGAACGGTTTCTGTGGCGGGGAGGGTTTGAGTATGCCATTTCCAACCACTACGACCGACACTGCGTGTGGGAAGAGGTGAGGAATGGATGGAGGTGAGGAATGCGAGGACATAAGGGACCGGTGAGGTGAGGAATAGGAAGAGGTGAGCGTTGAGGAGGTCTGGTTTGGGAAATGAGGCATGGAGAGGGTGAGGTATGGAGGTGGGATATTGAACCAGTGGGACGCTGTGGAAGTTTACTCTGTCACTCAACAGGAGTGAGAGATTGACTTTTTTTTGTGGGCGATGCATGGCACGATCGGTGCACGGCATGTGTGACCAGGTGGAGCGCAATAAGAAGCTGGGCAAGTACAATGCGACGGTCATTGACGAGCAGTTTGAGGCGTACAAGGCCGATGGACTCACCATGTTCAACCCCACTGATCCCAACAACCTGCTCATCAGCAGTAAGTGTTTAGTGCCGTGAGTGCGTAGTTCAGTTAGTGTGTAGAGTATTACAAAAAGCTGGGCAAGTACAACGCGACGGTCTTTGATGAGCAGTTTGAGGCGTACAAGGCCGACGGACTCACCATGTTCAACCCCACCGATCCCAACAACCTGCTCATTAGCAGTGAGTGTGAAGTTTCATTTCAGTTTTATGCATACAGGACAGATGAGAACTCACCATGTTAAACCCCACTTATCTCAGCAACCTGCTCATCATCAGTCAGTGCCCAACAACCCACCGCCCTGCTCCCCAACCCCCGCCCCCTGCTCCTCACCCTCCTGCTCCTCGCCCCTCTGCTCCTCACCCCCCTGCTCCTCAACCCCCTGCTCCCCACCCCTCTGCTCCCCACCCCTCTGCTCCCCACCCCTCTGCTCCCCACCTCCCTGCTCCCCACCCTCCTGCTCCTCACCCCCCTGCTCCCCACCCTCCTGCTCTACCATTCCTCTGTGCTCCCCCACTCTTCCCAGTTGTGCCGAACGGGTCAGTGATCATAAGGGCACACACAGCTGCCTCCAATCTCGCCTGTGCTGTCCAACCCCCTGTGCTACCATGCTCACGTGCCCCCCACCCTTCCCAGATGTACCGGAGGGGTCAGTGATCATAAGGGCACACACAGCTGCCGCCAACCTGTTCTCGTGCCTCTGGTTCAACGAGGTGGACCGCTTCACCTCCCGCGACCAGCTCTCCTGAGTCTATCCGTTGCCCACCCTTCTTTCCCTTCCCATGTTCTTTTAAGGCACTCTCCGTATTATAAGAAGCCACACTCATGCTTCTCAAGCCCACTCCCCCGTTCCCCACGCTCCCTCGTCCATCCCCATCTCTCTTCCCAGATGTGCCGGAGGGGTCAGTGATCATAAGAGCACACACAGCTGCTGCCAACCTGTTCTCGTGCCTCTGGTTCAACGAGGTGGACCGCTTCACTTCCCGCGACCAGCTCTCCTTTGCTTACACCTACCTCAAGATGGCTCGCACATCGCACCCTCTCCGGTTGAACATGTTCAAGGTGAGCCAATGCAGTCAGTGCAGTCAATGCAGTCAGCCCAAGCCAGTGATGGGTCAAACATTGACCAATGCTTATGCGTGAAGGTGGGGTAATGGGGTCATGATGACAGTCAACAGTCACAAGCGCTCTCTGGGAAAATCAGACACAAGGTAACCACCCTTGGCTCGAAGGCTGGCACTGACCAGTGCTTGAAAAGGGTTGCCTGATCTCCTTGCCGAGCAGGGCCGTCAGCAGCATCCTCATTGTCTTTACATGGCTGGTTCTACATTTAAAATGGCGCCCCAAGATTAGCCTCTGTTCCGACCATCTATGTAACAAGACAACTAAATACCATTCCGTACTCCTGATCTGTCCGGTGCATGTGTGCAGGACTGTGAGCGGCGGTCGTTTGTTAAGCTTTTCCATCACAAGGCGGAGGAGGCAGCACTCAAGCTGGAGCGAGGCAGGGCTAGGTAATAGGTGGATGCACTCTCCTCTTCTCATGGGTAAAACCAAGTTCTATACCATGTTTTTACTGTACACCAGTGAACAATGTCACTCAACAGAGAAATTTCATTCGCAGGTGATTCAAGGAAAACCAAGTTTTATACAATAAAAAAACAAATACGCAGCTAAAATGAAGTCAGAGACATGTGAAAGAACGGGCGCAATGCAATTGTGTATACTCGCATCCATCAGTGCAAGCAACTGTCACAGTGCGGAAACCTGGTTACCACATCTAACAAAGCAAGTCAACCTTCAAGCTCCATCCACCACCCTGTGACGATTTTCCAGGCGCATCAAATCAAAATTTTTGAGGTGTCTCAACGACGAAGCTCAACCTTGAAGCTGCACACTCTGCATCAAAGACTTCTGAAGGTGTATGCAAGGGAAGTGCCGGCTCCTCTCAAGCCACGCTATACCTCCAGGCAAGTCTGCATAGACCCCATTCTTCACCCACCACTCCAACCTCTCCTTCTCGCCATCCACCCCCCAGCACTGCTCCTGATCTTAACATCCTGCCGCCGTACCTACCCACACCCCTCCTTTGCATATCAGGAACATTATTCAATCTGGAGTCTTTGGAATACAGCTTCTTGCGGATCACCTCCAGGCGGGTCTGCATCATCCCATCCTTCACCCACCACTCCATGCTCTCCTTCACCAGTACCCCCTTTCCCCAGCCCTTACCCTCATCTTTTCTCCTTGGAATACACCTTCTTGCGAATCACCTCCAGGCGGGTCTGCATGGCCCCGTCCTTCACCCACCACTCCACCGTATCCTTCTCCCCATACACCTCCGAGCACCAGTCCATGTCCGCGCCCCTCTTATGAATGTTCTCAAACCGCTCGTGCCGCACTGACTCCACTGACAGGTCTACGCCTCCAGTTCTTGGGTCAACTACTTCACTTTCTCCCATCAAGAACACCTGGCAGGAAGGTGAGCAAGAGGGGGGGGGACAGGGAATGACAGTTTCTGATTGTTCTGCCCCTCTTGTGGACCTTCTCAAACCATTCGTGCTGCACTGACTCAACTAACAGGTCCACACCACCTGTTCTTGGGTCAACCGCCTCACTTTCCCTCACTTTCCCTCACCTTCCCTCACTTTCCCTCACTTTCCCTCACCTTCCCTCACTTTCCCTCACCTTCCCTCACTTTCCCTCACTTTCCCTCACCTTCCCTCACTTTCCCTCACTTTCCCTCACCTTCCCTCACTTTCCCTCACTTCCCCTTACTTTCCACCACTCACATAAAAATCACTGAAAGCCCTCACTATTCACGCTCTCCACTCACCTTGCCATGGCTCACCTTGCCAGTGTTGGCCATGATGTAGCGGTGTCCTCTAGTCCCCGGGCAGAAGTTAGCATCCACAGGAGGGTCGCCCTCAGAGCACAGGAAGTGCGGCCAGTGCCACAGCATGCGCTCCTGGGGCATGAGGCCCTTGGTGCGACTGCTCACCTGCCAAGAGTTTGTAGACAAGGGGAGAGAGGGGTAGAGAGGGGTGGAGAGGGGTGGAGAGGGCAAGGAGGGGGAGGGAGCGGGATGGACAAAGCTGCCTGTGGCGAGGGGCATAGGGGCAGTGCCACAGCATGCGCTCCTGAGGCATGAGGCCCTTGGTGCGACTGCTCACCTGAGAAGGGCATGTACAAAAAGGTGGGGAGGGGTGGAGAGGGGTGGACGAGGCGGCATGGGGCATTAGACATGGGGCATGGGCATGGGCATGGGGCATGGGCATGGGACATGGGCATGGGACATGGGGCATGGGACATGGGGCATGGGACATGGGGCATGGGACATGGGGCATGGGCATGGGCATGGGCATGGGCATGGGCATGGGCATGGGTATGGGCATGGGCATGGGTCATGGGCATGGGCATGGGCATGAGCATGGGCATGGGCATGGGCATGGGCATGGGTCATGGGGCGTGGTGGTGCGTCGCGGTGTGAGGCGGTGCTGCAGCGTGGTGCATTGCTTACCTACCTTTGTCCCCATGCACAATTTGGTACCCCAGACTTGACATCCATATGACAGCCAGGGCACGTTGCGATGCTGGGAAAGGAGCTCCGAGAGGGAGGGCGGCGAGATGATTGGATTGAACGCGGTACAGAGCGGTGCAGTGTGTAGTTTACCTCAATAAGACCCACCTTTGTGCCCATGCACAGTTTTGTACCCCAGACTTGGCAGCCATATGACAGCCAGGGCACGTTGCGATGCTGGGAGAGGAGCTCCGAAAGGGAGGGTGGTGAGATGATGTGGAGGATGTCGTCCCAGTCGAGAAAGACGACCCACGAGGAGGTGAGTGTGGAGCGGTACAGACAGTCATGCATCGCCATGAGCTGCCAGGGGAGACGGAGGGGTGCAGGTGCAAAGGAGGGGGATGGAATAAGGGAAAGGGAGGGCGGTGAGATGATGTGGAGGATGTCGTCCCAGTCGAGGAAGACGACCCACGAGGAGGTGAGGGTTGAGCGGTACAGACAGTCATGCATTGCCATGAGCTGCAAGCAAAAGAGAAGTGTTGAGGTGGACAAGGGGTGGGGGGAATATGGCAGGAGGAGGGGTTAGGTTAGGCAATGTATTGAGATCATGTGGGGCATGTGGCCTTTGCACCTACACTCACACTCCCAGGACTCACCTTGCCCTGCGAATACAATACACCTAGAAGTGCACCACGTCCCTCATCCGCAGCACCTCTAGAAACTCCTTCACTTCACGCAGCGCCACCCGGTCCACACCACACCTCGTCTCACTCCCGCTTAACCCCAGAGGAGCCACTCACCTTGCCCTGAGCTTGCACCCTGAAGTGCACCACGTCCCTCATCGGCAGCACCTCCAGAAACTTCTCATCCAGAAACTCCTTCACTTCACGCAGCGCCGCCCGGTCCATGCCGCCCGCATCGTACCCAACCACATGCTCCGCCCCGTACGCCCGGTGCACATGCAGCCAATCCCTTAGCCTCGACCCATCCACAGGGTCGGCAATCGGGTACGTGCAGAACGAGGTTCGGTACGGGTGGGTCGTGGACAGCAGCGGGTGGGTCGGCGAGTCCCGATCCTCCCGGTAAAGGATTATATGCTCGTTGTCGATTCCGACGACGAGGTAACCGCCGAGGTTGGTAACCACCTTGCCGCGGAGGTCGCAGCGAATGACGATGGTTTCGTACTGCTCGTGCGGTTCGTCGCGCGGGTAGTGCAGCGAGGGGCCCCCCAGTATTGTCACCCCGTCCGCCCCGTGCCACGTGCACGATGTGATCTTAACGAGGGGGAGGGGGGGGTGGGGGGGAGAGATGAGGGGGATAGGGAATGACAATGCTTTTTACTGTTAGTTGGAGGGAGGAAGGGAGGCAGGGAGGGAGGGACGGTAGGAGGGACGGAGGGACGGAGGGAGGGAGGGAGGGAGGGAGGGAGGGAGGGAGGGGGGTGGGAATGGGGGATAGTGAAGGCGCAATGGAGGGGACACGTGGGGACTCTGGGCGTCACACTGCATGCTGTTACCGGCGACCTTACTCTCAGCTGCACCCTTTTGAGTCGACTCAAAATTTGCTGGCGACCTTACTCTCCGCTGCACCCACTCGCAAACTCACCCACCCACCAGCCCTTGCAATGGCCACATTCCCCCCCCCCCCCCCCCCCCCCCCCCCCCCCCCCGCACCCTCCTGCAAGGGCGCAGCAGCGTCGCGCCAAACCCTACCCCAACCACCACCTTCGCCAGTTCCCACATTCCCCTGCTACACCTCCACCGGTCCCACCTCCCCCTGCTCTTACCTTTCTGTGAGGCCGAAGCAGCGTCGCGCCAAACCCTACCCCGACCACCACGCCTTCCTGGATCCGATACGCGGACCACTGGACCAACCCGTACGTGCCACGTCCCACCATGCGGTGCTGCCGCCAGTTCTCGTTGCGCACGCCCTCCATGTGCCCCCACGCCGTCAGATTCAGATCCGCCTGGAGCGACGCGCACTGTTCCTTCACGTCGGATTTGATTCGCCGCACGTTCAGGTAGATCGACAGGAGCAGGTACTGCACGGCGAACAGCAGCGTGATGATCAAGATCAACGGCCCGAATTTGCGGATGAATTTCACCGCGCGCGGCGGGATGGGCGGTAATTGCCCGATCCCGGGGATCACTATAGCGGGTATGCCTCCGAGAGGTCCCGGGTTCGATCCTCGGTGTCGGCCTCCTCCTCCGCGGAATTGCCCAGGGCGTTGTGGAGGTCCTGCGCCTGGACCTGAGGGAGGTGGTATCCGGTGCAGGTCGTACTCGCCGACAGGCTGTATTGGCTGCATTGTTAAATGTGGCTGGTTGTGAAAATAGCCCGAGTTGAAATTTGACGCTTTACGCGATCAGCGCTTCACATAGTCCGCACGTCTTGCATCCTAAACTTAGCGGGATTCAGGGAACAGGCTCGGTGATAGGTTGAGGGAAGGTCTGATGAGCAACCACCCTTCTCCGAACGTTGGGTTTGGTGTGTGAGGGCGAGTTTGGAAAATGGGCTGTTGCACGCGACGACGTTCCTAATCTGGGTTCGAAACGGCCAAACGCGTATTACGGACACTTGATTTTGAAATAGTGACTAGTGTGCGGATAGCAGATGTGGTCCCAGTCAGCAGTGCCATCAACAAAATTGCAGCCAACAACCGCATCGTACCCTATGAAGCCGCGGTGGGCCCTGCACTTAGCCTGGACAAATGGATTTTTGTTTCTAAGAACTCCTGATCAGGATGTACACCTAATCAGGAGTTCTTAGAAACAAAAACTTCTTATTATCGAGTTGGAATGGAAGTGATCTGCCTGTAGCGAACATTCGCGACAAGCCAACACATTTCTCGCACCGTCGGACCGAATCACAATTTCCAATCACAGTCAGTTCCAACCACATTTCCGCCGAGCCGCGAAAATCCAAGCACTGGGCTGTCACGTCAGTCCAGCAGCACACGCAGTCGGCGAAATCGCCTCTTTCTTCGTTTCTTCGCAAAATTGCCTCGCTTCTCCCAGACAGACTGTCTCTCCCAGCCTACAATACCAGACCTGTGCCCATTTGGCGTTGAAATCGAGGCCCATACCTGGCACCACTGTCAAGCGAAAGACAAGTCATGCTGGCAGCCGAACCTAACCAGATGGAGACCACCGCCAGTTCCATGCCTGGCTTGGCTTGGAAGAGATTCACATCTCTCCACCATCCCTCCACTTCATCACCAGACTCAGCTAGTCTGCTTTTCATTACAGTCTTCATTAGTGACTAGACTTGCCCAGAGGCTTCCACAGAGAGCCATTGTCGCCAAAGCTGTTTTAGGAGAATTTTCTACCTTGATAGTGAAGCTTGCTGTAGTTTCTCCGTCTGAGCTCTTTTCAAGCAGGGCGACCATTTCCTGATTGTGAGATTCTAAAGAACCAAATTAAGAATGAAGCCACTTCCTCCTGATGACGTCGGCCTGGCCAAGATGCGGCTCGTCGTCCTCCCTAAAGCCGAAGCCGACGCGCTGGACGAGTTGATCGACGAAGCGTTAGACGCAGCGGACCCGGATGGAGAAAGCGAGAGAGCATGGCGGCGCTACCAGGAGGACCTAGCCAGCGAGCTGTCCGCCATGGCCAAGTCTTCTGATCACCTCTGGCATTTCTTGGACGGCCTTGGCCGGCGGTTGCTGGAGAAGAAGCAGGCTCAGGCGGATGGCCAGCACAGACCCCTGAAACGTTCTCCCGGGTCCATTTCCCGAGGTAGGGAAGCTGGAGATGGGTCAGGGAAGACGCGTCGTTCTTAATAGGAGAACCTGCTTTTACGCTCTTAGTTTGGTTCTGTGTCACAACAGTAACAAAACGGTGTTTTCTCGGTTTAAGTGCATCTATATCAGCTTGGATTCCTCTGAGGAATCTCAGTTGCGCTCTTCACCCTCCTGCAAATGCGACGGCTCTTTTGCATTCTCGTTTTTTACCCTATTCTCCCATTATCCATCCACTCATCCACTTATCCATTCATTTCCAGGCATCCTGCTGCTCCACGGGTTACTCCGGTCCTGCTCCGCCAATCAGGAGTCGGACGTCTGCAGCATGCTTCTCTCCACGTCAACCCGCAAGGACCGACCTTCCCTCGACCTCCCTCGTCTGGCCCGTCGCCTCCACTACACCGTCCCCGCTTCTTCCGCTCCCCCCTCCTCTGCCTCCTCCACTGCTGTCACGTCAGCCTCCGCCGGTGACGTCAGCGATGACGCGGCGTTGACCCGATTCGCACACGCGTACTGCGTGTATCTGCAGGAGCGGCTTCGGTGCGTGGACAGCATAGGGCTCCAGGTGTTCCGCACGGGAGCAGAATCAGCAACCGGAGCAGCTAAAAACGGAGATAAAATAGCAGGAAACGGCCGCCAGCAGAACCCGCAGCCGCGTGAAGGATCAAAATCGGGATTAGCGAGGAATCCTGAGAGTGATTCAGAGAGGGGATTGGGGGAGGCGTATTGGGTGCAGCTTCAGTCCGACGCTGTGCTCCACCAGGTGGCCTCTCTGCAGCAGCTGCAGCAACGGTTAGTCGACTGCGCCGCCGCCGCTCCCAGCGGCCTCGGCACCAGCTTCGCAGCAGGCAAACCCGCAGGGTCGGTCCCAGCAGGAACAGCGGGGGGAGCAGCGGCAGGAGCAGGCGCGGGAGGGAAGGTGGTGGAGGCGGAGAGGGAGAGGCGGCGGCGAGTGGTGCGGTATGTGCTGGAGGTGATGTTGGATGAGAGCTTTCGGGTGTATGGGTGGGTCAACTACGGGCTCATTGAACTCATGGAACGACTCTGCCGCTTCCCCAAGGAGCAGGTGAGCAGGGAGGAAGCCAAGCAGGTATTTGTGCTAGCTGACGTGTCTACTTAGTTGACCTGTCCACCCTGCTGTCCTTTCCCATCCCACCTTCCCTTCCCCCCTACCTTTTCCCCGTCTCATCCTTCCACCCTTTGCCCGCCCATGCACTCCCGTCTACTCCCATCCAGGCCATGCGCGCTCTGCAGGTGTGCCAGTTCTCGGTGCAGCAGGGGAAGGCGTTATCTGACATGTACACGCGCCTGGGTGCAGCGGGGGTGGGCGCAGGTGTGACCTTCCCCTCCGTGGCCGTGCTGGGGGACGGCGTCATTGGCAACCTCTCCGCCTCCGTTGCTGCAGGCCCGGATGCTGCCACGAGCGTTCCGCCCTCTCCCATGCATTCTGCTGCTGTTGGTGATCTTGGCAGCAGGATGGGGAGATTTGCTGATGGCAGTGCTGCTGATGGTGCGAGTTTTAGAGGTATGGGACCACAGCAGCAGCAGCAGCAGCAGCAGCATGTGCAACATCAGCAGCAGCCGAATCTGGACAGGAGTGAATCCCACCGCTCTCTTGGTAACACCATGGTGCTCTTCACTCCTGTCTCAGGCCAAAAACATGCTCATCCCCACTTCCAGCAGCAACAACAGCAGCACCAGCAGCAGCAGCACCAGTACCCCCACCAGCACCAGCATCAGCAGAATCAGCAGCAGCAGCAGATGGGTTATCAGCAGCAGAACCTTCAAGGCCCCAGTCCGTACTACTCCTACAACGCCTCTCAACCACCGCCGCCCCAGCCCCCCAGCCCTGCGCTCTCCCCTGCCGCCCAGCAGCAGCAGTTTGACGACACTGCCCGGGCGCTCTTTGGCTCATATGCAACGCATCCCCCTGGTGCGGCCTCTACTGGTGCGGCCTCTACTGCGGCCTCGCAGATGAAGTACCTGACGAATGATGCCCACGGACGGGAGCGTGCTCTTGATGCTACAGCTGCTGCTACAGCCGGTGCTGCAGGTGGTGCTGCAAGTGGTGTTGCAGGGCACCACGTGCCTCCAAGCCAGCAAGGACAAGGAGGACAACAGGCACCCCATCTTTATCATCATCATCACCAGCAGCAGCAGCAGCAGCAGCAGCAGCAGCAGCAGCAGCAGTGGGCACTAGCCAATTCCGGGATAATTGGTGGAAGCGGTACAGCTGGCAGCAGCCCATTGGATCAGCCGCCCATGACCGCCTTTCCAGGCGGCTGGGACCAGCTGTTACTGGACAGCCTGTATGAGGCGGCACAGGCACAGAAACATGCATCAGACGACACTGCCGCCAGATTGGGAGGAGCAGGAGGTAGTGGCTCTGGTGGTGGTGGTTTTGCAGTTGGTGGTGGGAGTGGTGGTGTGAGCGAGGATCCTTTTGCGGCTTCTGCCGCGGTTCCCCCGCCGCCGTATGTGCAGATGGCGCTTAGAGCGCAGCAGCAGCTGGCCATGGAGCTTCAGAGGCGCATGCTGAGTCAGCACGCGCAGTTTTTTGCCGCGGCGAGGTCGGCGGGGGGCGCGGATGCGATGTTTGCGGCGAGCTGGATGGTGCAGCAGAAGCAGATGCAGGTGTATCAGCAGCAGCAGTACCAGGCGCGGCCGGGAGGGGTTGTTGTGGGGCCGTCAGGACCGTATAACTGGAATGGGGTTGGTGTGAGGTATGGCAACGTGCTCATTCCATTTTGAATACTCTTCCTGCCCATTGGAGGATAAGACTCAGCTTCTGTGTATGATTGTTTTACTATACCGATGAGGTGTTCCTGAAGCATTTTCATTCATCAACCTTCTGTCTTCGTGGAGGAGTAATTGCGGGTATAGCGTGAAGCTTTGGAACCAGTTCGCAAACGTTGGGGTTACGCGTTTCGTTCGAACAGCTGTCGTTCTTCGTCCGACCTCCACGTCATAAATCCGAGAAGAGGTCACGTTTGGCGTCCAATCAGAAATTTTGAACATCTCGAGCAAAGCTGGATTCCGTTCCAATCTCGGAACATCGAACCGCGATGTGCGCTTCGCAAATTGGAAGTTGGAATTTCGGAATTTCCAAGACCAGCCAGACAAGCCATTTCTTGAGCTGCTGCTTCTAGATGGTCCCCAGTTCAATCCCCTCCGAATCTCCCTTCTTCCCATTCGTTCCGCCTTTCTGTCCTTCCGTCCTGATTCTTCGATTAGTATCGACCCACCTTTTTTTGCGGCGCATCTCGCTTTTAATTTTTGGGTCCTTCAGTAGCATATCTGGCACACCTTAGCATCATGAGGTCGCGTAGTAGCGTCCCTGTCAGCCTGTGGACGAAACTTTCGTGGCCCAACCACGCGCTCATCCCGCGCAGCATCGCCCTCGCCATAGTCTCGCTCTCCCTCACCTGCATCGCCCTCAGTGCCTCCCTCCTCGCCTCCTCCTTCATCCGCTCTGCTCCTCCCCCTGCCTCACCTGGTAGCACGAGGAGTTTTCATGGCTCCTTGCCGCGCTCGCGCCACGTCACAGCTCCAGATTTAATCTCTCACGGAGATAAGCCGGGTGCGGCGGAGATTCTTCGAGGCATGGACGGGTCTGGAGTGGAGATACTCCCTGGAGAGATGGCGTCCCTGTCAGGAGGAAAGGAGGAGAGCAATCCTCCTGGAAAGGTGAAGGAGGAACTTTCTGGAGAAGAGGGGAAGAGCGGTTTCAAGTGGTACGAGTGGGTGCTGGGGGCTTTTGCAAGCCCTCTGGGAGCTTTCACCGACCTGCGTGCGCCGTACCATGTTGAGCAGAGTGTCTTGCCGTGGTCTGAGCAAGGCTCCTCGGGCTCCTCGGGGTCGAGACGGGAAGGGCGGGATATGACCGCTGCTGCTGGTGGCTCGGATCCTATGAGTGGTGGTGATGGAGGTGGTGACAGGGATGGGATAGACGAGGTTGTTGCGGGATCGCAGGAGAAGGGAGAAGGGGAGGAGGAGCAGGAGCCTGTTTTTGAGTCGACTCAAAAACAGGGAGAAGCGGAGGAGGAGCAGGAGACACAGCTACATCACGTCATGTTCAACATAGCCTCGTCCCGAGCCACCTTTCCGCACCGCCGAGCCTACCTGCGGTCCTGGTGGCGCCCAGGCGGGCAGGAGGGGGAGATCCGGGGCTATGTGTGGGTGGATGACGTGGCAGCGGTCCCGCATGACGTGGCGGTGGACCCACCTATCAAGGCCAGCAGCGACACGAGTCACCTGAGTTACCGCGGCACGGGGCTGAGGGAGTATCTGCGCCTGGCGAGAATCGTGGTGGACGCGTGTAGGCTTGGGGAGAAGGGCGTGCGATGGTGAGTGTGCATGATATGGTATGCTGCTGTTGCCTCCTAAGCACTGAGCCACCTGAGCTACTGTGGCACGGGGTTGAGGGAATATCTGCGCCTGGCGAGATTGTCTTGGACGTGTGTAGGCTTGGGGAGAAGGGCGTGCGATGGTGAGTTGGTATCGTATGCTTCGTATGTTCAGTTGTGGGTTGAGGGTTCTCTATTCCATTTTTGCTGTGAAGCACTGAGCCACCTGAGCTACCGGGGCACACAACACGGGGCTGACGGAGTGATAGCTTTTGGCACCCCATACCAACACCACCTCTCTCTCTCCCCTTTGTAGGCTGTAGGCTCTGATTCGAGAACGCCACCAAAACACTTTACCCGTTACCTCCCCCCCTCTCTCTCCCCTCTCTCCCCTCTCTCCCCTCTCTCCCCTCTCTCCCCTCGCCCCCACCTGCAGGTACGACGACACGTTCTTCAACCCCCACACCGTAGCAGCCTTCCTTGGACAATACGACCACAAGACACCCCTCTATCTGGGAGCGCCATCAGAGATGCACTACCAGAACGTGGCCAACACACGTGGCGACTTTTGAGTCGACTCAAAAGTTACCAGAACGTGGCCGGCGCACACGGCATGGCGCTCAGAGGGGGGGTAATCGGCCATCTCATTCACATTCCAACCTCTTCCTCCCCCCCCTCCATTTCTCGTTTGACCCGACTTTCCCCTGTGTTCGATTTCTCTACCAGGTACGTGATGGGGGACGATGATACCTTCTTCAGCCCCCTGGCCATCACAGCCGTCCTCCAGCAGTACGACCACAAGACTCCGCTTTACCTGGGAGCGCCCTCAGAGACGCACTACCAGAACGTGGCCAACACACACGGCATGGCGTTTGGGGGCGGCGGGTTCGCCATCTCGGCAGCGCTGGCGCGCATGCTGACTACAGATGGGGCCATGGACGCGTGCTTGGAACGACACGCGGCGGTGTGGGGGAGTGATGAACGGGTGGCCAGCTGTGTTGGCGAGCTGGGGGTGAGTGGGTGGGTGCATTGCATGATTCATGTGGGGGGGATACCCGTGTGGTCGCCATCTCTGCAGCGCTGGGGCTGGAGCCTAATCGGGATCGTCATGGTGCAACCCCTGCAGCCGCTGCTCTCGCTGCACCACCTTGACTCCCTTGACCCGCTACTTCCACTGTCAGGCTTCCACCACGTAGATCTGGGCGCCGTCACTTCGGTTTCCTCTCCTCTCCTCATGGCACATTGCTTGCATTCCCTCCTCTTCCCTTCCCTTCTCTACCTTCTGCACCCAATTCCCCCCTTCCCCAGGTGTCCCTCACTCCCACCCCAGGCTTCCACCAGATCGATCTGGGCGGCAGTCTCTTCGGCCTCCTCATGGCACACCCGCTACAGCCGCTGCTCTCGCTGCACCACCTTGACTTCGTTGACCCGCTGCTGCTGCCAGCTGGCATTGCTGACCAGGCGGACGGGCTTGCCACGCTGGCGGAGCGGATCCGGCCGGACCCAGTCGGGTTTGCACAGCTGGCAGTGTGCGGGGACGGGTAAGGGGGAGTAGGGAACACTAAGAACTCAACACATTTGTTTTGAGACGTCTCAAAAACAACTCTTTTATCAAGTAGGGAACACTAAGAACTCAACACATTTGTCACAGTGCCGATCATTTTGGGATTTGGCTTCTTCCATGCGCTTTCTGCACTGTCACAGCGACACACCCCCCCCCTCCTTTCCCAAACCTCCCCCCCCCCCCACCCCCAAAAAGAAGAAAAACCTACAAGCTGTATACGCACTGATTCCCCCCCTCACTCTTTGTCTCGTTGTCCTAAACAACACGAGTTGATGGAAGTAAGGCCTCCGCAGCCCACCTGTCCTCTTTTGACAGCTCATTACCCCCCTCACTCTTTGCTCCTTTTACCTCCATCCCTTGCAGCGCCCAGTGGACCGCAGCCATCTCGTGGGGCTTTGTCATCAGATGATCTTGCTTCTTGCACCTCCTCTCCGTTGCAATACAGAAAATGAATCATGAGGGAACGTTGTAACAGCTCTGATTCTCCCCTCGCTCCTTCCTCCACGCACCTCGCTCCCCTGCAGTGCCCAGTGGACAGCAGCCATCTCATGGGGCTTTGCCATCAAGATCTACCCCGGGGTACGTTTAGCCGAGTTCCACCTAATCTGAGCCTCAAATGATACCATATTTGGGGCACACAGAAATTTCCGTCTTCATAGTCCGAAGGACAGGGTGAACCTGTTGTGGAGGGCGCAGCGGATTAGAAACTATCCTGGTTTTTTTTTCTCACATTTCTCTCCCCTACTTCCCCTCCTGCAACCCTCTTTCTTCTGATTCCCCTCACGCCAGGCACGGCTGCTATCGGAGCTGGTGAGGGCGGAGCGAACGTTCTACTCCTTCGTGGGGAGTGCTGATCCCACAGCCTTCACCTTCGATACCAGGTCACCGGAGGTGCGTGCACGTGTGTTGGGGAGGAGGTGTGCGCGTGCGTGTGCGTTTGTGTGGGTGGGTGGGTGGTTGGCTGTGTGTGTATGTTGGTCTGTGTGTGTTTGTGGGTGGTGTGGGTGGGGTGGAAGGGGAATGGGGGAATGAGTTGAGGCACCATGGTGGGTGGATGGGTTGTGAGTACGTGTGATGCTCGTCTTCACCGTTCCATGCTGTTATGTCTCACTTTTAACTCACCTTTTCCCCGCAGGATGATGCCCCCCCACACGAGCTATGCGCCTTGCCCTTCACAATGTACGCGTCACATGTGGGACAACTGGACACCAACACGACCAGCTCTAACCAGGACTCACCTGCTGGTGTGGTCAGCGTCTACAATCGCACAACATTCTTACGTAGGCTCAACCGTTCCCATTGCCCTATTACTATATCGAAGGTGATGTCAGCGCGCATCATCAGACCTCAAGGGCCCATGCGGATAGGGCACAAGAACATGGGATGGCAAGGGCCAAACTTGAGGAGGCAAAGTTGTGCTAAGGTAGAGCTGGATGATGATAAGATGGATGATTTGACATTGACAGTTTGGTTGGAGGATGTATAGGATGTACAGTTTGATTAGAGGGTGAATGGATTCCTTATAAGGTGTATTATCTGTCAATGTTGATTTTGTTTCGGCATTGTTCGACACGTGACTCGCGTGGTTTGGCGACTTCTCAGGGGTGACAGTCTGACAGAGGACGCTGTAGAAATTGTCGTTTTCGCAGGGCGGTTTCCCCGCACGCGGGGTTTTGTGCAACTGGATAGCCCTGGCGGGTGTAGTGGGGGTGCTGAAATCTGCCCTCTCCTTGGCTGGGCTGGGCTGAGCCCCTTTCCGCTGCGCGAAGGAGATACCCTAGGAAATTTGGACCCCTCCTCCCTACCGATAGGGGTAAATTTCCTCGATACAGGGTAGAGGAGTTGGGGACCCCTCCCCTACCGATAGGGGGCTAAACCCTATCGAGGAAATTTGGGCCCCTCCTCCCGCCCCCCTGGCCCCTCGCGCACCATTTGTCGCACGCGTTACAATACCACCTGGGAGTTAGAGGGGCACCAAACAAAATGCACTGGACCAATCAGTGGGCACGACAAGAAAAACAAGCAGCAATTTTAAGTCAGGTCAGTAGGAACGAACAAAACCCATCACAAACAGGACCTTCCCGAACCTTTCGAATGAATGGAACACAGCAGATTCTAACACAGAGGTGCTATACGAAACCCGTAAGAAACGTTTTTGAGACCTTTAAAACTGTTGTTAAATCTTTATAAACCTCTGATTCTCAGCAGCACCGCACACTGCCCCCTCCCCCGCCCCTCCTCCCCCCACTCCCCTCCTCTTTCCCATCTCGCTCCCCTGCCCTTCCTTCCTCTCTTCCCGCCTCCCCTTCTTGCCTCCGCTTGCTTGCGCACATGGCTTCCTTTCTGTGTCCAGTTCACTCATGAATCTTGCCGCTTGTCCCACCTGGCCAGCAAAAGCAGGAACAGCAGCAGCACCAGCGGCAACAGAAGCAGCAAAAGCAGCACCCGCAGAATGAGATGAGGGTGAAGGCAGTGCAGTACTGTTTCATGGCCTTCCCAGCGTCGTGCCCGCGTCCCCGCCGCAATGGTGCGCCGCCGTCATTCAGAGGTCGCGTAGCCGCAATGGTGTACCTCGCAAGGCTCGGTGAAATCGTATACCCTTTCGTTCACCACATGTTATACGATTAGGGTTTGATGAGTCCTCTGGCCTGCACTTGATCTTCCTAAAGATATATAATCATGACCTACTGGCTCGCCGTAGCCTAAAACGTCCATCAGACAAGCGGAACATCTCATAAAGAATCGTCCGCCAGAACGCGCTCCGCTGACTAAGTTCGGTCGTTTTTCCCGTCGCGCGTGATATACCGGCCCTAGTACTTCCCTGCCGATGGATTTTACTCTGCTCGGGTCTTCAGGCGTTAGCGAATCTCAAGACCGCGTTTATCGAAACTACAAATCTCGTGCCGCGGGTGCTTGCGAGACGATTCAACCAGATTTTGCAAATCTTGAAAATCACTTGTCGCCGCTCTCGAGTTTTGGTTTACCGAGTCGCGAATCTCATCAGCCTGAGGCGTCGCAGCGACGGAACCTGCATTCGAGGGTTTTATAGCGAGACGACATGGGGATTCTGAACGATTATACCCATCATTCGCGCCGCGTCGACTCGAATAGCCTCTATTTGAGCAACGCGACGAGAACGGCCGGCTCGTTGGAGCCATCCGCACGTGTGCCGGCAGATTCAGATTTGTCCGCATGTGCAAACTCAGAGTTGGAATTTTCCGTACGTGCGCCGGCAGATTCGATGTCCGTTGACTCGATCGCCGGACGTGCACCGGCAGTAGGGGGGAATGGGGAGGCGTTTGCGCGAGCGGAGGTGCATTCGGGGGAGCGGAATGCGCGGGAGATGCGCGACCCGCGGAGCCCGTTTCAGGGTGAGGAGAACGTCCAGCGCAGCACGGAGGGAGCGGAAGGAGAGGAAGGGCGCCGGCGCAAAGGAGACGTGGGCAGCGGAATCAATGCGGGTGAAAGAAGCGGAAGCGGAAGGTATGGCGGAGGGGGTGGTGGAGGGCGGGGAGGCGGGCGGAAGGGACGAGGGGGAAGAGGAGGCAGAGGAGAGAGTCAAGGGAGAGGCGGGGGAACAGGGGGGAAGGAGAGGAGAGCCTCTGCGCAGGGTGACGTGGGTGAGGGGGAGGGAGGGGTAGCGGGGAGCAGCGACGCGGAAATGCGCGTCTGTAGGTCTACAAGCGGGAGTGACAGTAACGGGGGTGGTAGCAGCAGCAGCGGCAGTGGCAGCAGTAGGTGGAGCAGCAAGCGAGGCGGCAGCGGGAGTCGCGCAAGGAATGCTGGTGGCGGTGCTGCTGCTGGTGCCGTTGGCAGTGGGGATGCTGGTGGTGCTGATACCGCTCTTGTAGCGGCTGTGGGGAGTGCGGCAGGCAATGGGAGGGACCATGGTTTCGCGAATGTCGCAAGCGTGGCGAGCGGCGTCGGCGTGGCGAGCGCTGTCGACGTGGCGAGAGGAGGGGCAGGAACGCGAGGTGGTTTGAGTATCTTGACGAAGGGAGCAGCGGGCGCGGGGGATGCGGGTGGGGGAGGTGCGGGCGGGGGAGGTGCGGGCGGGGGAGAGTGGGCGGAATGTTTTAATCGCAGCAGCAGCGCGGGCAGCGCTACGAGCATCGCCAGCAGTGGGATGGGCAACAGCAGCTGCACCACCCGCAGCAGCACGAGCAGCAGCAGCGGCAGTGGCAGTGGCAGCAGTGCTAGCAGCAGCAAAAGCAAGAGCAGGAGCAGCAGCAACGTCACCACCACCACCACCACCGCCATTACCATCACAAGTAACAGCACCAGGAGCACCGTTAGTACCGTCAGCACCGGCGGCAGTAGCAGCACTAGCGGCAGCACCAGCGGTGCAACAAACAAATGCCAGGCTGGCCGGGTGTCATGTCTGCCGCCCAAAAGCCCGCTCTCGTTTCCCCTCTCCCTGCCCCTCTCCCTCCCCCTCTCCCCCTCTATGGGTTTCTCCCCCCACTCTCTCCCCTCCTCCTCCGCCTCCTCCCCCTTCTCCTTCTCTTCCGCCCCAACCTCCCCGTTTTCCGCCTCCTCCCCCTCCACCAACCCCTCCTCTCCTCGCTCCCCCTGCTCCTCCTCCCCTCCTGCTCTTCCTTCCAGAAACAACGTTGCCACTGGCGCTACTGCCGCTGCTGCTGCCCCTGCTTCCGTTGGTTCTGCTGCCGTCTTTTCTGCCGCTGTTCTCCCGCCTACCCCGTCTCTTCCTCTTTTAACCGATCTGCCTACTCCTCCTGCTGCTGCCCCTCCTGCTGCTTCTGCTGCTGCTTCTGCTTCTCCCTCTTCTGCTCCTGCTCCCATGCGCTCTCCTCTTCTCTCTCCCCGTTCCAATGCCACACCCAACGCCTTCCGAACCAGCCCAAACCAATCGCACACACCCCTCGCACTACCGACCCAGCTCGCCACCTTTTCCGAGCCTCCACCGTCCTCCCAAGCCGCCTCCTCTCCCCGAGCCTGTCCGTCAGGCTTGGCAGGGGTGCTGCAGGATTGCCAGGAGGTGGTGTGCCGAGCCTTGGAGAGCTTCGAGTTGCGGCTGGATCGGATTGTGCTGGGGTCTCATTCTCCCCCGCACTCTCCGCCACACTCCCCCCCGCGCTCCCCTTTCCGCTCCCCGTCTACCAATCGCGCAGCTCCTGCTGGCCCTCCTGCTGCCCTTGGTGACCCTCCTGCCGCCGCTCCTGCTGCTGCCCGTGCTGTTGAAGCTGCTGCTTCAGACCTCAATTGTCGCTCTGCTGAATCGCGTGACGCAGCAGCAGCAGTGGTAGGAGGGACAGCAGAACCAACAGCAGCAGCAGCAGCAGCAGCAGCAGCAGCAGCAGCAGCAGCAGCAGCAGTACCACCGCCAGCAGCAGCACCATCGTTTGTTGGTGTAGCAACGGCATCACCTCCTTTCTCCTCCCCTCTCTCCTCTCCTCTCCCTTCTCCCCGCCCCTGTCCGTCCGCCTCCCCGCTTGCCTCCCCCCTCCCCTCCCCCCGCCCCTCTCCCCCCAGCTGCGCGCCCCCCGCCATAAGATCCCCCCGCTCCGCCAACGCGCAGGCGTCGCCCAGGGGATGGGGGAGAGCGGGCAGGGCGCAGTGGGATTACCCCAGGGGGAGCGCGGAAAAACATGGGGCGATTTCCCCCCGGGCAGGGGGAGGAACGGGCAGGGTGCAAGGGGATTATTCCAGGGGGAGCGCGGGAGCAGGGGTGGCAAGCCCTCACCCTTCCGCCAGGGGCAGCGCGGAAGCACAGGGGGCGAGTCCTCCTTTCTCCGCCAGTGCGCAGGTAGCGCCCGCAGGAGGAGAAGGAGCGGGCAGGGCGCAGGGGGATCACCCCAAGGGCAGCGCGGAAGCAGGGGGGGCGAGCTCCCCCTGTTCCGCCAGTGCGCTGGTAGGGGGAGGGGAGGCCAGGGCACAGGGGGAATGCGCCAGAGGCAGCGCGGAAGCACAGGAGACAATCTCCCCCCATTCCGCCAATGCAAACATCTCCCCCCGTTACGCTGCGCAACGCACCTCTGTGCACCGCTCTCCACACCCTTCAACCGCGTCCTTCCTGCCCCTTACCTCTGGCAACCGCTCCTCCTCTCCTCACGTTCGCTCCCCCCGCCCATTGTCATCCCAACCGCCCTCTCCCCACCCGCCCTCCCCCCACCTCCCCTCTCCTCACCCCCCGTTTCCCCAGTCCTCCGCTCTTCCCCCCTTTCCCCCCGCGCCACACATGAGGCGCCCCCGAAGTCCCCCCGCGCCACACATCAGGCGCCTCTGAAATCCCCCCGCGCCATATGCAAACCCGCCCATTTCCCCCACACGCCCGTTCACTCCTCTCACACGTCGTCCTCTTCTCTCACGTTGTCCTCCATTCAAGCATATGAGCCTCCTCGAACCCCCCCTTCCGCCCGCATGGCCCTTCGCTCCCACTCCTCTTCTGCACTGCTGTCCCCCTTTCCCTGCAAACCCCTGTCCTCTTCCCTCTCTCCCTCCCTCCCCTCCTCTCCGTTCCCCTCCTCTCCGTTCCCCTCCTCTCCGTTCCCCTACTCCTCCTCGCTCCCCGTCACCCCCGCTTCTCTCTCTCGCTCCTCCCAACACCCTTCTCCCTCAACTTTCGAGGCGTCTCAAAAGTCGC